TGACACCTGCCCAGTTTTCGGGAACTGTTTGGTTCCTCCCAGAGAATTTAGCCAGTCTCTGGTTCCCGGAGGTATCTTATACATGCACAGTGGCTTCAAACCCGTGTTCACACACTCTGTACTGCATGAATCCAAGGACTGCGCATGACTCTGTGCCCTCCTGGAGGAAGGGCACAGGCTGCCCTGCTGTGGGGAGCTGTGCCTGAAGAAGCTCAGCATCCTACGTGTGGTCCTATACCCTGGGCATCCCACCTGACTAGAAGGACAACCTTTCTGGGGTACTTCTTGACCATCCGCCACTCTGTCACTCGGGAGCACCTGCCACGCCCCAAGAGTCGGATGTCCTCACCTCCCTTATTTTACGCTCTCCTTGGTACATTTCCATTTCTGTTCAGCGGCACTTACCACTGTGGTCTCATCTTGTGTAGGGCAGGAGTTGGTTGCACAGAGTCTGAAGCCCTCAGGGAGAATGGTCTTGGCCTATTTATCTCAGGGCCCAAAACATGTTTGCTGTTTAGCTACAATCAGAAGGAGCACAGCAAGGAGATGTGGCAATTGTTTCCAGGATCAAGCATGCCAATGTGGGAAAAAAAAAAAATCATAAATCCCAGGTAGCAGTTTGGTAAGTCAAGGTAAATGTATACTCCACGGTGCCTTGGCATTGGGCATTACAAAGGCAGGCAGGCAAGCACACTCAAAAATTCCAGGGCAAAACCCCAAACCAAACGAACCCAGACAAATACCCCACAATCTCACCAATTTATGTTTATCTTCAATAACGAAGTATCAAGATAATAGAAATACACAAAATTATAAGGGAGGAAAACCCCTCTGATATTTCTATATTCTCTACTCAGAAAAAAAAAAAAAAGAAGCTGTATTTAGTCAGTGAATTGGTGGAAACTTGAATATGTTACCCACTGCAGCGGTTCACCATGGCCCATCACGTGTTACCCCTCTCTTCTCCACTTATTTGGTATACTTGAAACCAAGTAAATGAATTTTGAAATTAGCTGGTCAAATAAAATTAGGGAGAAAAAAATATCTAGCTTAAACAAAATCTACAGGATGCCTCTAAGCACAGATAATATTCCATTAGCACACAATAGCTAACCACAGTCATTCTGAAATGGCTCTCTGTCTTAGAGAAAACAATAAACCTCTGATTTTACAAAGCTAAGTGAACTCCTGGGCCTGCAGACACTGACGGAATATCCTTACTTGGTTTCAATAAGAGGGAGTCAGTAAGATCAGCCCTACTAAATTTAGCCTCTGAGCTGATTTCATCACTAACCCGGCTTCTCTGCTGACACAAGAGAGAAGGCCCAGGGGACACAGCGCTAGGCTGGAACCAACCTATTTAACAAGCACAGATCTGTAGCCAAAAATGGTCACAAAGAACCTGCTACCTTGTACAGGAATGACTACCAATCAGGGTAAGGCCCAGAGGGCTCATCCTCCACGTTCCAAGCATGCCTGATGACCACACCTGCGAGAAGCCCAGTGCGGGTTACAAATCACATTCCCTTCTACCGGTGCATATACTGATATTTGTAAATGCAACTACAATTTCATCAGCCAAATTCAGAAGCTTTCCAAGAAAAAGAAAAACAAAAAAGCAAAAAAAAAAAAATTTCCAGAAACCTGATCCAACACAAAGCTTGAACCAATCTGGAGAAACACATATTGAACTCGAATCAAACCCTAATCATTTTTCTACCTTTACAAAAAGTCAATGAAGAAAAACATTTTAAAATTTCAAAACTGCTTTCATCTAAATGACATTTTATTTCAATACTCAGATGCTCAGGCAAACAAGCGAGCCTTCCACCGGCCACGGTGCCAGTACGGGCTGAGTGATGATACTGGCAGTGGTCCCCAGCAGTGTGGAAGGCCTGCTGGTCTCTGCTGCCAGGGCTTCCTGTCCTGCGAAGGGGTGGGAAGCAGAGGGGGAGGATGCACAGACGTCAGAAAAGGGCCAGCTGGGAAGGCTAGCTTTGCAGTTACACCCAGCCTAGGAGAGAAGATCCAGACACAGCCATGAAGGGTGTGTGTGGGGAGGGGGGTGTAAGTTTAAGTTTTAGAGGAAGCATGGGGCGGCAGGGCAGGGTGAAGGGTGAGGAAGAGGGGCAACCCTCTGCCTTGTCTCCCTCCTCCCCCCCTTGCACATGGCCTACCTCTTTTCTGTCATCTCAAGTCGAGGAGGATGCTTTTAGGAACTTTTAGCATCATACTGACCTTTCCCATCTTCAGTACCTTTGAAAACATCTACTAAACTGGTCTGAACTAGAATTCAAACAAAATTCCCCCCTTTAAAGTCCTATACATTCTACCAAGACTGAATGAAAACAGAAAGTTATTCCGGAGCTGAACTAGTGTGATGTGCTCGTGGCCCAACCTCCCATCCCACAAGGGGAAATCAACATGACTAGATTTCAAAGCGGATTTAGATGGCCAGCAGTAGAAAATGGAACAGCCCTCTGCTTTCCTTGAAACAGATTGCTTTTTGCAAGAAATAAATGCAATCCGAATATGCATACAGATCTGTAACCCAGATTTAATGTTCAAAGAAAGTGGTCAGAAAGTTACATCCTTGGGAAACAATAACAAGAAATAGGAGCGAATAATTTTCATTATTTTGAATGTATTACAAGGTATTTCCATGTGATTTACTTATCTATTTTCTTATTACAGTGCTGGGCATTGAACCCAGAGCCTTGCACACATGAGACAAGTGCCCTACCACTGAGCTATGACCACCCCAGCCCAGTACTCTTACTTCACAGAACATTTAAAGATGTCTATGGGGAAGAAAGAGATGTCAGGAAAAGGCAGAACGTTCAGAAGCAAATACATCGTAGTTTTATTTCAGCTTTTTGGAAACTGAAGAAAAGTTGATATTCATTTTTTTCTACTTTGCCTTATATTTTTTAAAAAAAATTATTAAAACTTTATTGTAAAGACCTTCCAAATTGTCCAATACCACCCTGAATGCGCCTGATCTCTTCTGATCTCGGAAGCTAAGCAGGGTCAAGCCTGGTTAGTACTTGGATGGGAAGAGCTTCCATATTAGACACACACACACACATACACATACACACCCCAAATGTAACCAGTCTCAGTCTATACATCTCAGTGAACTTCTGCACAGTTAGAATTCCATCCATTCTTATTGATGTTTGTTTTAGCGTGGGCTTTGAGAGAGATCTATTAGCTGGAAATGGGCAGAGGGGAGAAGGGCAGAGCGGGAACCACCAGGTGTGGAGTTTAAGTCTTCAAGGGGTGGGGGTGGGGAGACGACAGCGTGGAAAATAGTCTGCAGAAACCCATGCAGGTGACCTTCGAGTGTCTTCCCAGGGCACAGTACGAAAATCAAATACCACATAATAAGCTACAAGGAACCAAAATAAATAACCCAAGATACATTATACTCCATAAATCTGAGCATTCCTGAGCATGAGGAGGACAAATCACTTAGTCACTGGTCCTGGATTTGTTCTCATCTGAGAGGCACTGGCCTACATGCTTTCAGAGTCTTCTAGAACGAGAGCAGAGAGATGAGTCCATAAACAGATAAATAGAAAGACCACTTCTTCCTGCCAAATGCCACTGCTGAAGACAAAAACTAAACTAAGAAGATGGAATTGGTGCCGGACAGGTTTGGGAGGCCTGCGCTGTTAGTGGTTTGAGGTTTCTCACACACGCACTGCAAGCTGTGGAGAGACCACCGCCTGTCTTTCCACAACAGGAACTCACACTTGTTCCCCAGTCAGAGGTGCGTCTCAAAGCAGAAAGGAAACATTAATCTATTACTGGGGACTTTGCAAATTTCGATAGTACTTCATGAAATCATTTTTTTTTTTTTTTTTGCGTATGACTACTGGAAAGAGTTCACAGTCTGATACCAACAAGCAGGCAAAAACAGAACTCTCTGCATCTAAACACCTTTACAAAAACAAATTCATAATACTATATTCCCTAACACCATGTTCATGTTAGGGCCACAAGCAGAGAAGGTGTCACTTTTTCTATTAGCTTACAAGAGTATTTAACTTGCCAATGACAATACTTTCTTTTGATGTGCACTCAAAGCTAAAGGCACATTCCTTTAACATACTCAGACTTTATTTTTGAAATTGCATCTTCCTTCCAAACAGGTTTAACCCAATATGCATTCCCGCAGAACTACTCAGTATCAGGTACAGTAGGGTGCGGGCATTAGACATAGAGTAACTGCAGGCCCATTATTAAGACTCCCCTGGTGCCTCCAGGGACTGGGGAGTCCACAGACGCAGCTTGACAGGTGTGGTCCCGGACAGGGGCGGGGTTGGCGGGAAACTACTGAGCCAGGACAGCTTCCCAGAGCTGACAGGAGGCGAGGCAGAGGAAACTGTGAACAGGATGTTACTACACACACAAAGAGGAGAACTCCAGACTGCCAAAGGGAAGGAGGCTGTGGAGAATTCAGAGTGTTATGCGGCGCTGAGGCTCCGGGGAGAGAGACATGTGTGACAGAACCGAGAAGGTGATTAGAAGACCTAAAGATCCACTCTGGGTTTTGTTGCTGTTTGTTTGTTCCTACAGACAAGCATTCTAAGCTCTACCCCCAGCTGCTTTTTGTTTTGGAACAAGGTCCCACTAGGTCACCCAGACTGGCCTTGAACTGCTTGTAGGGTCCCGAGCAGCTGGGATTCAGGCCCTGCATCACCAGCCCAAGCACTGTGTTTGAAGCCACATGCTTGGTGACTACAGGGCCATGGGGTGTGGCCAGCAGCAAGCCAGAAGCAGCTCATACACATCTGGACAGCTGTGTGCTCTGAGATGGTCTCAGACATCCTCCCCCCACAATGTTCTTCTTCAGGTATAGCCAAGTTTTCCAAGTATAAGCTATATTTATATGTATGCTTTTGTCTCACCCCAACTATGTCACGTGTGGCTCCTAAAAGCCACATTCAATTGCCAGTGAGCACATCGGGTACATACTAAAGACAGCCTCTTACCTGAACAGAGCTGCTCCACCTTTGTGTAGTTTAGAGAGACGATGTCGTTAACCCATGCAATGATGTCATGCCTGCTCATAGTCTCCTGGGTTATCGAGGTAGAATACACGTTGACCGCCATTCCCCAACTAGGACAAAACAAATGAAAATAAGTTTATTTACTCACAAGAGAAAAAAAATACCTTAGAAATATAAAAGACATGAAGGCAATCATGAAGGACAGTACTGGTGGAGCTTTACAACGAAGCTTCTTCCTGTGGGTCCTGACCCCCCCCACACACAAATACCCCATGGTAGAAGGGAGAAGGGTACAGGGAGGTGGTGAAAATCTGGCAACAGTAAACGGTTTTGGAACACGCAACAGTCAACACTTAGTTCATAATCGGATGTGTACTGGACCCACAGCCCTCCCGGCAGCGCTTGGCTGTGTTGCTTTAGGAGTCGTCCTTACGGCCTTCATGCTGACCGCGTAACCACGCACACTCCCGCACTCCCGATTGCCCGTCGTGACACCTCGAAAGGCCAGCAAGCGCTGCCTGAGACACCCCTGGCTCGGATCTCAGACTACTGTGTTTTGTTAGGTGATGTCATTTTGGATGTACGTACAAAGCTTGCTGCTCTTACAGAAACATACTGGCTTCATTACAGAAAACAAGGCTTTTAATATTTTCCCCGCTGTCAGTCCTTAGCACGTAAGTATCAGAACAATGCATTTCTGGATTGTCTTGTGCTAAGACCAACAAGCACATCCATCTCCAGTATGCAAATTTGCTTTCATCTTTTTTTTTTTTTCTGTCTTTTCTATTTTTTGAGACTGGATCTATCTAGTTCTAGCTGGCCTGGAACTCGATTTGTAGACCAGGCTGGCCTTGAACCTGCAGTGCACTTGGGCCTCTGTTTCCCATCCCTAAGATCACAGGTGTGAACTATTTTGCCCAGCTTTGTGGTGAAAATCACATGCTTATCAACGGACTATATTAAAGCTTATTATGATTTACTGTCATAAATGTCTGAGTCACGTACCTATTTTACTTACCTACCTAGCTGAGCTCAGGTAAAAATTTCTCAGGGGAAAGGGGGTTTGGAGCTGGGAGTTTCATCAGCCTTGCTCTAGAGGGAGCAGCAGGCCTGACTCAGCCAAACCCACCCGCTGTCCTTTCTCCCTTCAATTCCTTGTTAACTGCTTATCTGGACCACATTTCATGCAGTTTTTCCCTGTGGTACCACGTCACATTTCTCCCATCTAGACTCTAAAGTTCTTCAGGCTCTGAGATTCTTCATTTCTAACAGAATCTAGGGCCTCACTTTTGACTTTAAGTCTTTATGGGACATTAGGTTACTGGGCTTACAACACTGTGCACCACAACAATCTTGTTTCTTTCTTTCTTTTAAAAAAAAAAAAAGATTTATGTTGCAGGGCGGTGGTGGCGCACGCCTTTGATCCCAGCACTCAGGAGGCAGAGGCAGACAGATCTCTACGAGTTCAAGGACAGCCTGGTTCACGGAGTGAGTTCTAGGATGTCAAGGGCTACACAAAGAGAAACTGTCTCAAAACAAAACAAAAAATTTATTTGTGTGTGTGTGTGTGTGTGTGTGTGTGTGTGTGCACATATGTAAGTGTAATACCCAGAGAGGACAGAAAAGGCTGCTGGGTTCCCTGAAGCAGGAGTTAGAGGTAGCTGTGGATTAGCAAAGCAATTGAACACTTTAAGTGCTGCTTAATGGGCCACCCTAGGTGGAGCGTGGAAGACAGCGGTGCTGGTGTGATCTGAACCTTGCGGGCCTGGATCAGGGAGGTTTCAGAGGAGAAGAATGTTAGTACGCGGCCTAGAGACTGGTCTTGTGATATCTGGGTGAAGAATGTGGCTGCTTTTTGTCCTTGTCCAAAGAGTCTGCCTGAGGCTAAAGTGAAGAGTTCTGGATTAATTCTGTTGGCAGAGGTAACCTCAAAACAACCTAGTACAGACTCTGTCATGTGTTCATGCTTATAAAGCTTTATAATGAAAAGGAGCACCAGGAAGTAGAATGGAGCTAAGTCCTGTGTTCAAGGAGATGAACAGATTAAGAAATGGAATAAAGGGAGTGGTGACTTCAGGGCAAGATGCCACCTACCTGTTAAATTTCCAATTTAAAGAAAAGAATTAAAAAAAAAAGAAAAGATCAGAGCCAGGGGCAGTAGTGCACACCTATAATCCCAGTACTGCAAAGGCAAGGCAGAGGCTGGCAGATCTTGGAGTGCAAGGCCAGCCTGGCTATAGATCCAGTGTCAGGACAGCCAGACTCAGACAGTGAAGGATATCATCGAAAACAGAAAGCTGGTGAAAATGTAATTGAACGGAGGGGCCATGTTCCAGTCCCAGTAAGTGTTAGAACAGGGCAGCACTGGCCATGATTCAGGCTTTAAAGTTAAGGACAGGAGAAACAGGTCAAGGGTTTTGCCTCTATAACTATGGAAGGCCACTGAGACCAGGCATATGTCAGGGGTGTCCTTGAATGCGGGCCTAGAGAGGTCACTTTGTGAAGCTATGAAGTTGAAGCCTGGATTGTCTTGGTGATTCCAGATGTTGGAGATGCCAGAGCCATGAAATACCTGCCGAGGAGAGCTCCTAACAGGGAGTGGAACCAGCCCAAGAGAGAGAAGTGTGTTAACAAAGTTCAGTCAACAAAACTGAAAGGACCTGGAGATCTGAAGAGCGTTTTGACATCAGGCACGGAGACGTAGGGTTTGGAGTTTGCCCAGCTGGTTTTCAGTGTTGCTTCGGCCCAGTGTTTCCTCACTATGCTTCCTCCCCTGTGTTATAGAATGAGAATATATATCCTGTGCCATTATATGTTGGAAGAATGTGATCTGCTTTTTGCTTTTGATTTTACAGGTGATTACAGTTAAGAGATCATAATGAATTTCAGAAGAGACTTTGAAGCTAGACTTTTAATTAAGTCTGAGACTGTTGAAGACTATGGAGACTTCTGAAGTTGGACTGAATGCATCTTTGCATTATGATATGACTACAAGCCTTTGGGGGTCAGGGAATGGAATGTGGTGGTTTGAGAAATCTGGCCCCCCCCCCCCGGGGACACTGATAGGAGGTGTGGCCTTGCTGAAGCAGATGCGATCTTGTTGGAGAAGGTGGGTCATTGTGGAGGCTGGCTCTGAGGTTTCATATATGCTCAAGCACAGCCAGTGAGACAGTGCACTTCCTGTCACCATTGGATCAAGATGTTGACTTCTTCTGCACCATGTTTGCCTGCCTGCTGCCCTACTCAGAACCACCATGCTCCCTGCCATGATGATAATGGACTAAACTTCTGAAGCTGTAAGCTGCCGCCTCAGTTAAATATTTTCCTTGTAAGAGTAACTGGGGTCATGGTGTCTCTCCACAGCAACAGAAACCCTAACTAAGACAGTCTACTTCTACAATCAATTTTTGACCAAGCTTGTTTTCCTTATAGTTCCATCAACTGCCCTTGGCCAATCCCATTTCTGGCTCAGGCCATGTTTATTATTTACAGTTAATGCCAAGTATTGAGTCATTTCAGTTATAGATATTTCAGAGTTTTGGAGAGATGAAGACATTAGAAAACACTAAGCAACCAACACAACAGTGTTACTGCACTGAAATGACCGTTGTGTTTAACTCACACAAGGGTGTGGTTTGATGTTGCCTTGGTCTTTGCTTTTCTATATCCTATGATTTGATCTGCTTGCTGTGTCTGCTTCAGGCACACAGGGAAGCGAGGTGAAAGAGTCTTCTTGCGGTGTCTGAAATTCCACTAGGAATCAGAAGCTGTCCGGCTCCTTTTGTCGGGCTATTAGACAGAAGATATTTGCCAAGACCCAACAGTTCATTAGTGACTTCTAACGTATTGTCTGCTGGTCATTCTTAACTTATTATGTGTGATGATCCCACAAGGAGGAATTCCATCCTGAGAGAGCCTGGGGTCAGGGGTCAGATCATAGACACAACACAGAGCAGGTCCTGATCGCTTCTGTACTCTGCACTGAATATTCTCTGGCCAACATGATTTTTATTTTTATTTATGCAATATAACCATGAAGTACAGAGTTTTAGCAAACTTGCTATGCTTTAGTCTACTGCAATTTAAATCTTGACTGATAAAAGATACATTTGAGTGTGCATGGGCCTGTGTATATGCTTATTTGGGTTGGCCTTTCAGTTCCTTGGATAAAGTCCTTCCTTATTTTCTGTTGTGACAAAATATTCTAGGCTCAACTGGTAACTTTTCTACTTCAGACCTAAAACCAATTATTTCTCCCAGGGCCTCTGACTCCTTTCTGTAACAGACAGTATTTGGTGATATAGAAATAAATATTTTAAACATGACTGGATGAAATACCGAAATCTAAAGTGTACAGGCTCTCTGCAAATGTCCTTTATGTTTCTTGTGCTTGGAGTCGTTTATTTGTATTAACTGATGCCACTCTGTTTCCCGCTTCAAGGAATTAAGTGGACTTTACAGTCATGAAAACAGCATCCACACATCGTCTAAGTTCTCTTTCCCCGAAGACCTGAGAACAACCCTCCAGCACCGGATCCCAGATAATGCGACCGTGAATATGACTTCTCTACCCTTCTATTAAAGGTTCTTTTGTTTTCCAGTCAATAGCTTTTGCTGTTTCCTTTAATGACCACTTACTAAGTGAAACCACTTACTTGGACAACGTGATCACCTTTCACCACCTTTAATAAATTATCTAAAACTTTACTAACGATAAATAATTCAAAATTGAAAGCATTTTGGACTGTTTGATGTGATTTTTACATACTGACGTAACTTTTGGCGCTCGATGTACTTTCCTAATGATTTTTTTCACGTGGTAATAAGCAGCCTTCACATTTCCCAGCAAGGGACAGATGGAAGGTGAAACGTCAAGGCCCAGAACTCGGTGGCATCCAACCAGGGTGATGAAATTTTTGCTCCAGGTGATTGAGAATCAAAACTAAACACAAAGCAGGGAAGATCTGTGTCTGACAAATACAGTCACAGTGGTAACTGAGTAAAAATGGTTTGTAGTTACAGAAAACGAAGAACACCAAATATGATGGGCAGATGAGATTGAAAAATACATGGGAACAATGAGGTGGGCCGCTGCAGCCCAGCCCTGAGT